TTTTTAAATAATCCCTTCATGCAGTGGCGTAGCGTGCCTTAGATGGGCCCTGTATCAAAATTTGTTGAGGGGCCCCAATGAAGAGTAAAGATTTCATAAAAGGAACAAAACAAGCGTTTTTGCTTTGAATTAAAATTATTACATATTATTGATTATTCGTTATTCATCATCATTACAGCCCTTCACAAGTCCACTGCTGAACACAGCCCCCCCCCCCCCAAAGAATGCCATAAAGCACGGTCCTGAGCCACCTGCATCCATCGACTTCCTGCATTATAGTCATTCCATCGTGGATCATGGATCTGGGGGGGACGCCCTACACTTCGTCCGCCAGTACGAGGCCGCCACTCGAGAACCTTTTTTCCCATCAGTTGTTGCCGCTATTGGCAATATGGCCGGCCTACTTCAGCTTACTAATCCGATGGGTAAATCCGTACTATCTCATCTGTCACTTTTGTCACGGTCACTCTGGTTCTACTGCGGATATCCTCATTTTTAAGTTTATCACGCAGAGAAACTCTGAGCATAGCATTAAACATGACCTTTGTTTTGTCCATGTTCATCTTAAGACCTAGCCATTGGCAGACACTATTGAGGTCATTGAGCATAGTGCTAAAGTCCTCCAGCGATTCTGCCATAAGAACTATATCGTCGGCAAATCGAAGGTGAGTGATGTACTCGCCATTGATTTTAATACCGTATCCTTTCCAGTCCAGAAGCTTGAAAACGTCTTCCAATGCAGCGGTGAAGAGTTTCGGGGATATAACGTCACCCTGTCTTACACCTCTCTGCAATTCGATAGGTTTCGTAGTCTGGTTCTGTACTCGGGCAGCCATCGTAGCCCTACTGTACAAGCACTTCAGCACTTCAGTATACCGACAGTCAACTTGGCAGCGCTCAAAGAACTGCAGCACCGTCCAAATTTCGACGGAATCAAAGGCTTTCTCATAGTCCACATACGCCTGACATAGTGGCAAATTGTACTCCTCGGACTTCTATACACTTGGCAGAAGGGTATGTATGTGGTCTATGGTGCTAAAGCCTTTTCGGAAACCGGCTTGTTCGGGAGGCTGGAAGTCGTCAAGTCTGCGCGCGAGTCGATTCGTAATGATTCTCGAAAACAGCACGAAGACGCGGCTCAGAAGCGAAATCGGTCTATAGTTCTTCAAGAGAGCGTAGTCACCTTTTTGGAAGAACAAGTCTACAGAACAAGGCTCCACGCCTCTGGTGTAATGCCAGCATGGAGGACGAAATTAAAGAGCTTCTGAAGGACTTCAAGTACCGGTTTTCCACACGCTTTCAGAAGCTCCGCTGTAATTCCATCCTCGCCTGGGGCCTTGCCGTTTTTAAGGTGCTGGAGAGCCATTCTAATCTCGCTCAGACTGACGTCCGGGATATCATCGGAATAGTGTCGGATAATACTCGCTCTTGGATCGTTACTTACACTTGCGTGTGGCTCCAACGATGATGTGTACAGCTGCCCATAGAACCTCTCAATCTCACTCAAAATCTCAGGTGTCCCGGAAACGACGCTGCCACGCTCGGTCTTCAGCTTTGACAGTTGGCTCTTTCTGGCAGACAGATATCTAGCAAAGACTTTGGAGCCCTGGTTCCGCTCGATCGCTTCTTCAATACGAGCAGTATTAAAGTTGCGTAAGTCCCGCCGCATGCATTTGGAGATCTGTCTGTTCAGTTGCAATCTTCTAGGCAATGAAAACGGTTTCGTAGCTCGAGCTGAAAGGTTTCGGGACTTTGAATTAGAGCACGAGGGGGACGGAGCGTTGACTTCATCAAACGAGACCTCTCCAACTTAACTTTTTAGGTTCAGTGTACCTCTCACCATTCGGTGATCGCTGCCGGTTTTCACCCTCCTGATCACTGAAACATCACTGAACAGTTGTCGTCTGGTCGTCATAGTGTAGTCAATCTCATTTCTTGTCGAACCGTCGGGGCTCGACCAGGTCCACTTCCTGTGCGAGCGGGTTGGCAACTGCAGTTTTTTTATTGTTGTTTTGCTGTTATCAGAAAGATGCTGCTGCCTATCCTCTGCCTCAGTTTCTCTCTGTGGCCTCTTACGACACCTACGGGAAGATATGGGGTAGTGAGTATTCTTACCCGCCACTACACGGGGATATTCGTTATTACTTACAATTAATACTCTAACTACTAAGCTAGCCAAACAATTAAAATCAAATATACACTTTTCTTGCCTTTTGTTCAGCGAACATAGCTGAAGACGATTCGGTGGCATTCATAGCTGAAGACGATTTCAGTTTTTCTAAATTCTTTGCTTCTATAGACGATAGTGACAGCCTTTCCTGTCCCATAGATATCCTTGGAATTTTCGTTTACACACGTTCGGGGCCCCTGTAGCCCGGGGGCCCCGTATCATTGATACGGCTGATACGGCGGTAGCTACGCCCCTGCCTTCATGCTTGGAAAAGGCTCACATCATTTATATACAAATGTTTGATACCAGGACTATACTCTCCCAAAATTTAAAAAAAATGTGGGGGATGCATAAATTACTGTATACTGTGGGGAGGCACACGGCTTCATATAGGCAAACGCCATGTATGGTAAGCGCCAACCTAAACAACGTGTAGTTTTTTAGGTTTGATGTCCGCATACGGTCTACGATATGCGTCCCAGCGCTCCAGCAACCAATTGTTGTAAAAGCAAAAATATAATTATAATTTACAGTATACCTATACATTTCTGATGGCTGAATTTATATTATCTGCAACTGACGTTGCGTATATAGGTATATATAGGTATGCATTTTTCGATCGTGTTTGTTTCACCAACAAACAAGTTGCCTTTATTCATTCAAACGTCGATAAATTACTAAGATATTAATTAGGTTTGTTTCATAAAATCATTAAGAGGGTCAGACAGTCTGCAGCCCCGTCATCACAGGACCCGAGTTGGGCAAATCTACTCAGGCGTAATCTTAATCAAGATGCAGAGAGTCCTATTGAGAATACAGAATAGTGACCCGCCCAAACAACCATCACAGAGGCGCAATGCCACATAACGCAACAAGCATCAATATGACTATCACCGGGCATACGCCATCCCTAGATCTCCCATACAATCCCAGCAGACATGATGTCTTGTCGCATATCTTGCCTACAAGATGGTAAAATCATATATAGCTTACACGACATTACGTCTTGTGATGGACCTCATCTCCAACTACTGGCATAGGTGTGACACTGACGTTACTCATGAGTTCATGAACTTTGTTTTCTATGTTAATTTTAAGACCTAGCCGCTGGGAGACTATTGAGGTTATTGAGCATAGTGCTTAGGTCCTCTAGCGATTCTACCATAAGGACTATAGCGTCGGCAAATTGAAGGTGGGTGATGTAATCGCTATTGATGGTTGTTTCGTACTCTGATTCTGTACTCGGATAGCCATCGTAGCCCTATTGTACAAACACCTCAGCACTTCGATATACTGACAGTCAACTTAGCACCGCAAGGGACTATAGCACCGCCCAAATTTCTAAGGAATCAAAGTCTTTTTCAAGTCCATATACGTAATGCAAATAGCAGATTGTACTCTACGGTCTTATGTACAATTTGCCGAATGTTATGTATGTGGTCTATGGTACTAAAGCCTTTTCGGAAACCGGCTGTTCAGGAGGTTGGAAGTCGTCGATTCTGCGTGCGAGACGATTCGTAATGACACTCGAAAACAGTACGTAGACGCAGCTCAGATGGTAAATCGGTGTGTAGTTCTTCAAGAGAGCATTGTCGCCTTTCTTGAATAAGAAGACCACCGCATTTCTGCTCCACGCCTTCAGAGTAGTGCCATCATAGAGGACGAAATTAAAGAGCTCCTGAAGGACTTCAAGTACCAGATTTGCACCCGCTTTCAGAAGCTCTGCTGTAATTCCATCCTCGCCCGGGGGCTTTAAGATGCTGGAGAGCCATTCTAATCTCGCTCAGACTTTACGTCTGGGGTATCATCAGTATAGTGTCGGAGACTTACTCTTAGATCGTTACTCACACTTGTGGCTCATATTTCGTCTTCAGCTTCGATAGTTCGCTCTTTCTCTTTCAGCTCACCGTTTTTACTTGTGCCTAGTTTTGCGTTGAATATAAAATGGGAGACATTAACACCGTATAGTTGGTTTAGAAAGGAATGCATGGCTCTAGATATGTCCTCATACATTTCCTCCATCGAGGATAAGCCGAGGTCGGTGCGTAAACTTGTATGACCTTCAACGAATACCGTTTGGTGATTCTGAGTATAAGATACGCAATCCTCGTCGACACACTCCCAATCTTTACAACTTTATCGTCCAAAGAGATTTGTGGACGGTAAATGCGACAACTCCTTGGGACAGATGGACGCTCCATCGGTGATAGAACAGGTTACCGGATCCTAGGATTACAGTATCCTCCCCTCTCTTCGGTCGTCGTCTCTTCCTCATCCCTTCTTTCAGCTCCAGGATCTTCTCGTCAATCCTCAGAGAGAATGCGTTGAAAATTGCCAGGTCAATTCATCTTAGGTTTCAACCGAACCTCCACCAGAGATTCTTAGGACCTCCTGCCTCGCCGTTATATTGTCGCCACCATAGCCAGGAATAACGGGGCCGTGGGGATTGGGGGCAGTTTCTTTGTGTCCTTGCTTATGAGGAGATGTTTACTATAGTTACCACTTACCACGCTTGGTAAGCGTTATTTTGTTGTTATTAAAAAGACGCTGCCGCCCATCTCCTGTCCCAGTTTCCCTCCGTCGCCTCTTACGACACCCATAGGAAGATATGAGGTAGGATGTTCTTACACCGCCACTACACAAAAACATCGTTCTTGAGTCAAAAACAAAAAAGTTATTATAAGCAATTTTTTCTATTTTTACCTATTTATTCTTTTTAAATTTTATTAGGAAGTTTAATTTTTATGCTATTATAATACATTATACTTATTATATATAGATATAAAATAAAGAAATTAATAAAGGATACAGAAAAAAAAACTAAATAATCAATGTCATAAATTTATTAATAATTTTACATTTTATAAAATACGATGTATTCCATACCTACATAAACAGGATCACAGTTGTTGTCATTAAATTTAAATATCAATCATGTTAGAATTTCTTCGATCAAAAAAGCTTTTTCTTAAACACGGAAGAAGTGTTATACAAAGTAAGGGACGTACAACTATTGCCACAAGGTAAATACAGCTGCAAACCAGATTAGCTAAAGCTAAAGTGTAATTCGGTTGCTCTAAAGCATATTCATTATCAGCTGTTGATGTCGAATACAAACTGTACACCATAACAATGGAACGTGGTGTGCATAGAATGATATACATGGAAATAAAAGACAGTGATAATTTTAGCGCAGAATGTGTCCCACTCTCACTACATTGCGAGCGTCTCTTTTTCGACTTTAGTTTGATAATTATTAAAATAGCGGCTGTGCTCATTATCATAAAGGGTAAGAATAAGTTGAATACTGCTAGCAACGAATGCATACTAAGTCTATGAGTTGTGTCCACAAGGGTGCATAACACCACATCGTGATCAAAGTGGACTGTAGTGGCCAATACAAATTCCGGAATGCTAAGTGATGCAGATAACACCCATACAAAAGCTACTGGAGGAGCAATTCGGATTCTTGTGTCGGTCAACCGGTAATCTACGTTCATGGTTCGAGGTGGAGTTGAGGTGTCACTAGTGACAAGGCTGTGTCGCGATGACCTTATTTCATCATCATCATTACGATCATCTCTTTTCATAGAACTTTGTGAAACTTTTTCTTCCAGGCGTACAGTAGCCAACGCATGAAGAGCCATGGTAGCAACTAAATATAAAGATGCCGTCGTAGAGAAAACATTTAGCCCACGATATGCTATACAAGCGCTCCTGCCAAAATACCAAGTTCTTGTGTTGAAGGCCCATAGCTCTGGTGCAATGGAAGTTCCCAGCAATATTAAGTCTGCTATAGATAAATGTATGAGTATAGAAATCAGGCCTGAAAAGAAAAAAAATCAAGAAAGAAAATAGTAATTTCACACCCTCCCCCCACTTTTTATACTTTTTTTATTAAAATAAAATAAATATTTATTGGTCTGAAGCGTGTGCAGATTATCAATAATATTTTCAATACTTCATCAAAGTATTCAGTAAGAGCAATTTTTCGGATTATTGTTTTTAGAATATCTTAGGTGGCATCATTAAAAAGTTAAGACAAATTTTAATTTAAAACTAAATCAGTACTAGTAGATAAATTATCCTATACTTTAAGCGAGCAGCAAGTTGTGTATAATATGTGATTGGGTTTACAGACACGATTTGAAAGAAATTTTGTATTTAGATAGAAGTTAAACTTAAACAAAATTACAAGTTTATTATCATCATGTCATCCCGGGTTTCGTCAACATCGATAATAATTGTCGTTTTTAGTATGTATCTATTACTAGAAGCTAGCTATTAAAAGAAATTGTGCTATAGATGTCACACCTGATTTTTTTCATTTAACAAATTAAATGACAACATTTTTCGTTTATGGCTTACTTGAACGAATACATTTTCGATCACAATCGATACTATGTAGACAGAAGCAAAGATAACTACGAATAGGTACATTTTGTATACATTAAATAAATATTTTATTGAATAATCTAAGAAATTTAAAAGTGAAAAACTTAGAAATACATAATAATAGACAAAAATTCTCAATGCTTTGGTATCAGTCATTTACTTATTTCGTATCTTAATTTGGTATTGGTAAACTCGTATTAAAGTTTGTTTGAACATTTACCGTTTCTTGACCGCTTGAACAGCCCGGCTAAAAGCGCGCAGTTGGCGAGAGCCCCGGCGCCAGCGACGCACGATATGCAAACCGCGAGGGCGAGCGGCGGGACTAGCGGGTGCAGCGCGCCGAACTCGGGCGCGAGCTCCGACATGGCGTCGGCCCTCGGGGAACGTACCGGGATCAATGACTTACTGCGTCACTTGCGTTCTACGCCGTCCCTTACTTTTTTCTTTGTCCGCAGTGAATCACCACAGGAACATGTGCTCACTAAAGAACGCGAGCATACTTGTTGACTTTTTTACAATATATGCGTTTATGGTGCACTGTTTTATACCAAGTTACATTAAAAAGAAAAGCTTAAGTTACGTAGCTAGTACGTAGTGTGATGCGCACTAAAGCGGCACTGAACATTTTGTGAATAGAGAGGAAGTAACTTTGTTAAGTTCGCATACAAATGTGTGCGAATATTATTTATTAAGGGCTGCGCTTCTCTTCATTATTATTCAATGCTCGCAGCCTCGCAGCTTACCTATACGTGCAGAGACGTCATCGAGTGAGTGTGCTACCGTTATAATAACTTTATAATCTTAGGCTTTCAATCAACATTACAATTTTTTTCGATAACACCTAAGGGACCTTTAAAAAACGAAGTTATTCCTTTTTCAATAGCCGGCAATGCACCTGCTATTCCCCTGGTATTGCACTTGATCTCATGACAGGTGGCGACGACACTGTCAATGAAATTTTTGTTTGTCTGTCTGTCTGTATGTTTGTGTATTCAAGTCTCACGCAAAAACTACTTGACCGATTTGCATGAAATTTTTTATACGTGGTAGAGCCATGCTGCAGCTACTCGTATATTGTGGTTGTAGCGCGAATGGGTCGGCTCGAACGGAGAAGGACCACGCTCTCACAGAATACCAGCGTAAAATAGCAGCTCATTGCTGCTGTGTTTCGTATGGTGAGTGTAGAGAACCAGAGACCCGTTTTACTGGAAAAGAGGTATTCCATCTTAGTCCTCACGGGTGACAACGTATCTGCATTTTTATTTTTTATTGAGGATAGATGTGGATGTCTATGGGTCACAGCAACCACTTACCATCAGATGGACTGTGTGCTCGTTTGTCACCCTTATTCTATAAAAAAAATAGAGGTAGGTGGTAACCCGGGGTAACTTATGGATTATTTTTTATCCAATTACGGAACTTCAAAAAGGAAGGTTAAGTATTTTCCTTCCTATAGATATTCATTTTCTACTACATATTATTATGTAAATTAATAGGCGGGATAACGTGTGTTTTTTCAAATAAATACCATGTTTATAATTTATATAATATAAAATTTAAAATTAGGTTTTAACCCTTGTCTAATAATTTAAAACTCCAGTTGCAATCTGCGTTTTAATTATCGAAACAGCGCCATCTATCATCAAATTAAAAAGTAGTATATTTTGCCTTCAGTTATTTATAAATTAAATAATATAAAGTTACATTTAAGTGTTTAAATAATTAGATTTATAAAATCACCAGCTGTGTGCCTCACGGTTTTACCCGCATATGTCACACGTCTAAACCGCGCGATATGACATGACACCTTGTTCAAGCATTTTAGATAGCAATGTACATATGTATAGCAATGTGTGTTGTTTTATCTATTGGCATATGAACGTTATAGAGCACATTTACATTTTATTCACTCTCCCTGACACTACACATTTTCATGTATCGCGTAATGTTTTCTTCAAAACTAAAATAACGCGATTCAGGACACTTTTTGTGCGCGGGGGAAGGGCGGGGGGAGGGTTCTAGTACTGCATTAATTTTGCCGATTTGCCGAATCAATTAAATTTTCAAAATAGCATAGTAATGTGTAATGAAAGGGTTTAGAAATTAATTGTAGCTCTGTCTAAAGAACATAATATTATTCTATTGTTTACTGTGTATCTTAAAGACCTGTTTTCACTTTGATTAGTGTGAGTGCAGGTGATTAGTAATTGCGGTTGATTAGTGCAGGTGTGTAGTGTAAGTAGTGTCTAATTCTGTTTAGTGTCTGTGTTTAGTAAATTCAGTTGTTAGCATTCGACCAGGAAGTATAGACATTTTTTTAACAGAAGCGAGCGTCCGACGCTAAACGCTAAACACTTCCCTATATATAATGTACTCTGTGACACTTAGCACTGCTGTCCAAACGTGTTTAGTGGCAGGCATGCTACGAGTGAGGGGAAAGAAAAGGCGCGCGGGGCGTGACACTCGCAGTCCACTCGTAAAAAAATAGAACACGCCTCTAATCACTTTACTACACAGGTTATTAATCACTTGCACTAATCAATCGCTGTCCACACGTGCTTACTCCTAAACACTAAGCACCTGCACTAATCACTAATCAAAGTGAAAACAGGCCTTAAGTCATACTGTACGTATATCTTGGCAGTAAAGTGGAAAATTTTTGAGAAAACTAAACTTTCAGCAAACACTTGATAAATGATGAAATATGTTCATATTTCGTGGCAGATTGCGCGGAAACTATAAGTGATATCGCTTTTGTATTTATAAGAAGTTGATAGCAAATTTATCAAGGATCATTTCGTACAGTTTTCATGTATTGTGTAAGGATTTCTTTAAAACTGTAAAAAAATTTCGGGGGGGTGGGTTTGGGGGGTAGGTGCATTCCCAGTGGGGAGAAAGTGGATGCAGAGTGAATGAATTTAACTTCGCTCTATAACGTACATATGCCGATAGATAAAAGTACTCCATTAATTTTGCCAATTTTTTGGCTAAAATGATTGAACTAACCTCGATATTAGATCAGAGTTCACTGCTGGTTTCTCTCGGTTGTCATCAGACAATTAGGGTTTATGCGTCATTCGCACGCTGACGAGTGTAGAATTATTTAAATTTTTCATTATCTCTTAAACTTTGCGACCAAATACCATGCTATGAAAAGCATTATTTTATTATCATTATTCATTAAATTGTCTATGTAAAAAAAAGTTAAGTAAAGTTGCAGCCTATTTACGTCCCACTGTTGGGCACAGGCCTCCTCTCAATTCTGAGAGGGTTTTAGGGCAAGGAAATGTCCGCCGCGCTGTCCCAATGTGCGTTGGCGAAATTCACATGTCTTCGAAATATTTTTTTTCTTATTTCTCAGACATGCAGGTTTCCTCACGATGTTTTTCCTTCACCGCCGAGCACGTGGTATATCAGCATTTAAAATTGCAATTAACAATTTTATTGGTGCCGGCGGGGATCGAACGCGGGTTGCTCGAGTACTGTGAAGCTTACAGCGAGCGCTAACCATCTGAGCTACCACGGCTGTTTTGTTTATGTCTATGCTTAAGAATAACGCTCATAAATCACTTTAAATTTCAATAATTTTTTGTCACAAACTATCTTATTGTGGCTTATGTATAAGAAATAGTCATACGGTATCACCGACTTTTTTAGATAGATACAAAAGTTAGGGAGATAAAGTAAAGGTATATATTTTTGTAGAATTTTTTATTTATGTATCACTAACTATTATGTCAGTGCGCGATGATGATAAATCATCTCGGGAGCGTTTTTTCTTCTGACTTACTTAACAAAAATCAACATTTAAGGCTAGCTGGGAGATGTAGCCTAATGCTAGTCTATATACTATTCCTCATAAATCTGGCAATAATATACAAAAAGAATTATTCAAGTCGGACAGGTAGTTCCAGAGATTAGCGTGTTTAAACAAACAAAATAACACTTCCGTTTTATTATATTAGTATAGATACAGAATAAATAATAGATCAGTATAGATTAAAAAATCCTAACGTACGTTTTATTAGTTTTTTAGTTATTACATTTTAAAAGCGTAATAATTTAAATAGATAATAGTGACATTTATCAAACGTATGAAAATTGATATGGTTTTAGATTAATTACCAATGTTTTATGTAAAGTGATTAAAACTAGTCTGCTTGAAAATTTTCATTATCATTATAATGTTACGAACTTGGGGTTCGAGACAATTAAAAACTGCCGATTAAATTACCAAAATTGACACTTTAATTACGGATACTAATTACAATCTAAAAACACACTAATAATAAAACACAGTTCGCCGTTATTTCGCTTCGAAGTATTCTCTTGTATCGCCAATTCAATACTGCCCCGGTCGTGGTCTATACCGGCCTTATATAGGGCCTCAGATAGTTTCCAGAACCTTCTACTGTAGCGACATCTAGAATGTTCGAGTACATATCGGTCCCGAAATTTCTGGAAGGATCTCGACTCTCCTAGTTCTGCTACTCGACACTAGAGGGCGCTAGTGTGACTAGTGTTGCCATGTACAAGACATTAATAGTGGCGCGCAATACTTTCATTTACTCGACACTAGGGGGCGCTAGTGTAACTAGTGTTGCCATGTACAAGACATTAATAGTGGCGCGTAACACTGCCCCCTCCTAAGACATGCTCGTCCCGAGCATTATTGGCCCCATAATAACGCGCCAGTCGATCCACATGGACAATCTTAGGAGTACCTCTGGCACCTTTCTGTATCCGGTAGGTTACATCATTGATCCTTGTCACAATCCGGTACGGTCCGTCCCATTTAGCTTGAAGCTTAGGAGATTTCCCTTTGCTGCGAACTGGATTGTGTAACCACACTAGTGAACCTTCATCAAAGCCCTTGTTGTTCATTTTGCGGTCATACCGTGTTTTCATCTTCTCAGACGTTTGCTGGCCCGTCTGTCTGACGTGCTCATAAATGTCATTCATTTTGTTCCGCAAGTCATTTGCATAATCGGTTATACTGCGTGGGGCATCAGGTGGTATTCCGGTGATCAGGTCTGCAGGCAGCCGCAATTCTCTCCCAAAGTTTGCGAAAGCTGGTGTCACTGATGTACTTTCGTGAACAGCGCTTCGATATGACAACAAAAACGGTTGTATGTGCCTGTCCCAGTCTCGTTGCCGTTTTTCCACAACTTTTGCTAGGTACCTCTCCAATGTCTGATTAAATCTTTCTACCATTCCATCAGATTGTGGGTGGTAAGAAGTTGTTCCTGTTTTCTGAGTACCCATAACTCGGCAAGTTTCCTGGAATATTTGAGACTCAAAATTCCTTCCTTGATCGCTGTGAATCTCTAAAGGTACTCCAAAACGACAGAAGACTTCATGAACTAGTTTATCTGCAACTGTTGAAGCTTCTTGATTTG